TCAGAGCTGTTACGCTCTTGGCCTGTGGGCCCGCCTTATGCTTCCGCTGCTACTGTTCTGCTTGTCTCACCCCCCAGGCGCGCGACACTTTTTCATCCCGCCGCGCGCTCGTGGAGCGCGGCGGTTTTCTGCCCGCCGTGCGCCCCGGGCGCGCGCAGCGGTTTCGTCGCCCATCGTGGCGCCCTCTCCCGTCGCCCGTCGTGGCGTCACGGGGGCCGCGCGTCCCCCCCATCCCGTCGCCCGTCGAGGCGCTCCGGGGGCCGCGCGTCTTCTCCCCTTTGCGTCGTCCCATCGCGGCGCCACGGGGGCCGCGCGTCCCCCACTCTCCCGTCGCCCGTCGTGGCGTCACGGGGGCCGCGCGTCCCCCCATATCCGGTCGCCCGTCGAGGCGCCCCGGGGGCCGCGCGTCCCCCCCATCCTGTCGCCCGTCGTGGCGCCCCGGGGACCGCACATCCCCCCCATCCCGTCACCCGTCATGGCGCCCTGGGGGTCGCGCGTCGCCCCGCTTCATCTCCCTCCCCGTGCCTCCTTCGTTAGGGTTTGGGGGTGGCGGGTGTGGGGGTGGCGGTTGTGAGTTCCTCCCCTTGCTCCTCCTCCTCCCTCGTCTCCCACTGCTGCAGCTGCCGCTGAGGGGGGTGGGTGTGTGGGAGCCGAAGGAGTGGTGCTAGGGGGGTGACGTGGGAGTGGAGCTAGGGGTGCAGCAAGGGGTGTGTGAGAGGGGTGTGGGACAATTGGGGGAGGTTGAACGGAGGCTGTCGTCGTGTCGTCAGCAGCACCAGTATGTCCGGGGCGCTGCTCCGATAGCCAAGTAGTAGCCTGCTGCACCTGTCGCCCGTGGGTCCGTTGCTCCTGCCGCTTAGAGTTAGCCACAGAGCCAGTTACTCCAGTAGTCCGGGGCGCTTTCCCGGTAGCCACTGTGCCAGTGTCGCTCCTGTTGCCCATGTGTCTGCAGCTTCAGCCGTCGCCTCCTATCTCCTCTCCTCTTACAGTCCCGCCTCCTCCTCCTCACTTGTCCTTTGTGAATGCCTCTAGCTTTGCTTGTACTTGTGAACCTACTCTATGCCTGCTTGCTGTGCTGATTATACCCCACTTTGACTATGGGGGTGTGTCAGATTATAATGCTTGTCTAGCCTACAGTGGGGTACTCTGTACTGAGTACGACCCCTTAGGGTTTCCTATATGTATCCTCCTGCTTGCTAGTGAAACTCCTTTCCTTATTTTCTCTTGCCTAGCTAGCTAAACCCTAGTTATGGCTCCTTGTTCTAGCTACTCTCCTAACACATCCGCCCGAGAAAAATTACCCGATACATCACCGCGAAATGATCGCGATCATGCACGCATTTAAAGTGTGGCGCTGTTACTTGACCGGCGCAGACGTGACAGTACGGACAGACCATAAATCACTACAGTATCTCCGCGCACAGCCCCACCTCAACCCAAGACAGATTCGCTGGCTCGATTTCCTCGAGTCAAACTTCTACTACACAGTCACCTACAAAAAAGGGGCTTCGAACATCGCCGATGCACTGACCTGTCAGAATCCCAACCACTAACCACTGGGATAAAAGGGCTTATTTGTGTAGCAGGTGAGTGCGCCCATAACCCTCCAGGCCAACGTGCCTGTAACCTTTCCCTAGGATCAATCGGGGATCACCAGTGGACCTCTGATACCCCCCCCCCACTGGGATGCCCAAAGTGCAAACACCGGGATTCGAACCCGAGATCTTCGTTCTGATACCATGTCAAAATCCCAGCCACTAACCACTGGGATAAAAGGGCTTGTTTGTGTAGCGCGTGAGTGCGGCGATAACCCTCCAGGCCAATTTGCCCGTAACCCTTCCCTAGGATCAATCGGGGATCACTAGTGGACCTGTGACATGACCCGCCCCACTGCCCAGTTCCATGCAATCCTACTCGCTCAGACCAACCCACTACTGACAGGCCTATTTACCCACGGGTACCAAACGGATCCATTCTTCACAGGAGGAAATTCGCAGCAGTTCGCAGCAGCAAAGGGAGTCTATTACGTAAAAGCCGGGACCGACCGCATCTGGGTACCAGGATATACACTGCTACGGGAATTACTGTTACAGGAGGCACACGACGGAGTTACCTCGAGGCATTTCGGGGTTGAGAAAACACGGCAGCACCTGCAGCGCTATTATTACTGACCCGAAATGTTTACCGACGTTCAACGACACGTGACATCGTGTCCCACTTGCCAGATCATGAATTCATCACAGAAGCGGTCGACATGACAGTTGCAGCCGATACCACCCCCAGAGCGTGCTTGGCAGCAGGTGACGATGGACTTTGTCACGGGGTTACCGGCCGGGGCGAGTGGGAACGACGCGATCCTGGTCATCGTCGATCGACTGACGAAAATGGCACACTTCGCAGCCTGCAAGAAATCAATCACAGCCGAAGAAATAGCACGCCTCTTCATCTCCACCGTCGTTCGACTGCAAGGGATACCAGCAGCGATCATCAGCGACCGAGACACGAAATTCACCAGCAACTTTTGGCCGAACCTGTGGCAGCAGTTAGCACGCAACTACAGTTGAGCTCTACGTACCACCCCGAGATCGACGGACAGACAGAGAGGACAAATCAGACCATGGAACGGCTCATCTGAGCCACGTGCGACGACCCAACCACCTGGGAACAGCAACTACCACTCATCGAGTTCGCTTACAACAAATCACCTTCCGCCACGACCCAACAGTCACCATTTTACCAGAACTACGGACAAGACCCGACAGTACCCATGACCCCGAATCCCGACAACCCGGTGCCACGAGCACAACAGTTCGCCAAAATTTTACAAGCAGCATGAGCCCGGGCAGCGGACGCACTTAAAAAATCGAACATCATTGCTAAACGCAACGCCGACCGCCACCGCCGACCTGTCACCTACTAGCCCGACGACCTAGTTTTACTTGAAACCCAGAACCTCCGCCTGCCCGTTACCCCAAAACTTCACCCTCGATACTGTGGACCATTCCGCATCAGCCACATGATCACACCCATCACCGCCCACCTCCCCCTCCCCGCTGACTGGTACGTCAGCCCGTCTTTCCACGTCAGTCTGCTTCGTCCCTACGTACCATCTACAATCCAACTGCCACGCAACCCCCCAGCCAGCATGACACGACCACCGATTGAGCCAATCATAACGCCCGAGAAGATTCTGAGCCACACCGTTCGTGACCCACGAGGAGCCCAAAGGATCGAATTCATGATCCGCTGGACAGACTGTACACCCACCGAAAACAACTGGGTCCCCCTGGACAAAATCGAAAACCACCCCGTCCTCACAGAGTACCTGCGCAGCCAAAATTTCCGGGATGTACACGCGCTTTTGTAAGGAGGGCCTCCATAGGGGGGGGGGGGGGGGGGGGGGGGGTAGTGTAAGGAAAATCCTTTTTCCTTACTTCACGTCCCTGCTCAGCGCGTACACCACTGTTCTCGCCACAAGCACCCAGCAATAAACCGTTACCACTCGCGACATTCGCCTCGACACTATTCCCACCACTTTTCACGACGCGACCCAGCCTCAGGGTTCGGTTGGTAACCCACGCTCCGGACCACCGCCCCGGCGCCAGGCCCGTCGCGCAGCCCATTCTCACGCATTACCGTTACCACTGTAGTTTCGCTATATATTATTCGCTCATTGTACCTTTGCTTCGATAGTGCAATTCTCGCTCACTCATTCCATTGCACTCGTAACAGATGTCAGACTTATATGACTTAGCCTATGTAGGCTATAGTGGGGTAGCACATATAGGGTACAACACATTTCTAGGGTTTGTACTTGTACCCAACCTTTTCTCTAGTCAATCATTCCTCGTTCTTTCACATGGTATAGAGCAGGTTCCCTAGTGGGAACGTTTCCTAGGGCCCACCGAAAATCGATTTTTTTTTCCTGCCCGGAGCGCGCTTTGCCCCTGCCCGAGTCGCGCCCCGTGTGCCTGCCTCCCGTCGCGTCCCCTGCCCTTAGCGGCCCATCGCGCTCCCTTACGGCCCCGTAGCGGCCCCTCTCACGGCCCCTCACGGCCCCTTTCACGGCCCTTCGCGGCCCCTTCAGGCCCCTCGCGGCCCCTTCGTGGCCCCTCGCGGCCCCTTCGCGGCCCCTTCGCCGCCCTTCGCGGCCCCGTCGCCGCCCTTGGCGGCTCCGTCGCCGCCCTTCGAGGCCCCTCGCGGCTTCTTCTCGGCCCCGTCGCCGCCCTTCGCGGCCCCGTCGCCACCCTTCGCGGCCCCGTTGCCGCCCTACGTGGCCCCGCCACCACCCTTCACGGCCCCGTCGCCGCCCTTCTCGGCCCTGTCGCCACCCTTCGCGGCCCCTCGCGGTCCCGTGTCGGCCCCGTCGCCGCCCTTCGCGGCCCCTCACGGCCCCTTCTCGGCCCCGTCGCCACCCTTCGCGGCCCCTCACGGCCCCTTCGTGGCCCCTTCTCGGCTCCTCCGCGGCCCCTTCTCGGCTCCCTCACGGACCTGCCGCACCTGCTGCAGCAGCCGTCACCGCCCCTACAGCGGGAGCCGCCACCGCCGGTGCCGCCGACAGCAGCAGCCGCCGCCGCCACTGCCGGGGCCGCAGCCGCCGCAGCCGCCAAGAGCAGCAACCGCCGCCGCCACAGCCAGGGCCGCAGCCGCCGCAGCCGCCGACTGCAGCCGCCGCCGCCGCCGCCGACAGCAAGGGCCGCCGCCGCCCCCGTCCCGGCCCTGCCCTCCAGAGAGGCGCGGCAGTCCTCTGCCGCCCTATAGCGGCTCTGTCCCTGCCGGCGCGCCTCGGCCCTCCCCCACCACTTGCGGTCCTCTACCCACCTGCCCTGGTAAGAGCACCGCCGAGCCGCGCCCCTACTGTTTCTACTGCTGCTGCTGCCCCTAGCCTGCTGCCACTGCTGTCATAGCTACCCCTAGCGTGCTCGTCTTTGATGCTGAGGGTCGGGCTGTTGACTTTTGAGGTCTGGGTCGATGATCTATAGCTTTTCCTACAGTGCGATATGAAAGACGGTCTCTCACTGTTCGATCTCACGTCTGGCGCCTCTGCTGCCCCTACTGCCGATGCTGACAGCACTGTTCGCTCACAGTGGGCCACACGCAATGCTGCTGCCCGTCTTGCTGTGCGTAGTCACTTGCCGTCGACTAAGCGCGCGCACATTAGTCAGTACAAGAGTGCTAAGACCTTGTACGACGCTGTAGTTGCACGCTACTCTTCCCCTGCCACTGCTGCCTTTTGCCGCCTCATGCTGCCGTACCTGTTCCCTGACCTCGCCGCCTTTCCCACTGTCGCTGACCTCATTACACACCTTCGCACTAGTGACACCCGCTACCGCGCTGCGCTTCGTGCTGAGTTCTATGCCAAGAACCCCCCTCCCATGTACATCAACCTCTACTACATAGTCACCTGGCTCCCTAACTCCCTTCGCTCGTTCAGGGACCACTTTCTCTCTGTTTGCCCCACCACACTCACCGTTGACCTCCTTGAGGAGCGCCTCCTGGCAGCTGAGAAGAGTATAGTCGCTGTAGGAGCCTCTCGTGGTGACCCTCGTGCCCCCTTCTTTGAGGGGTGCTCCCCCTCCCCCCTTTTGCCCTCTGTTGCCTCTGCTGCTGCCGTCGACTTCGTTGGCACCGAGTCGGTCGGCGCTGCGTTTGCCCCTAGCGGGAGACGCCGCACCGGCAAGGGCAAGGGGGGCAAGGGAGCTGGAGGGGCTGGTGGGGGCGGTGGAGGTGGCGGTGGAGGCGACGGAGGGAGTGGGGGTGGCGATGGTAGTGGTGGCGGGGGTGGGAGCTTCGGTGGCGGCGGTGGAGGCGGAGGCGGCGGCGGCGGCGGTGGCGGTGGGAGCGGAGGAGGAGGCGGTGGTGGCGGTGGCGGAGGTGGCGGCTGCGGAGGTGGAGCTGGTCGGGGTGGCTCTGCGCAGCGGAGCGGCTTCGGTGGTGGTCAGCGCCAGCAGCAGCAGCGCACTCGTGAGACCCCGCCCCCCCAGCAGCTTCGTGAGTGGTACGCTGGGCGTCAGCGGGGTGGGGGTGCTGGTCCTTGTGCCTACGTCCTCCGTACCAGCGACCGCACTGGTGAGCCGTGCGGTGGCCCGCACACCACCCAGCGCTGCTTCGGCCGCCTGACGGACGCTTGGCGTCTCCAGTTCCCTGACGCCACTGAGATCCCCCGCTGGGGCGAGTTGCTTATGTCGCGGGTTGCTATCTTTGATCTGGATTATGATGCCATTCTTGCTGCCATGTATGTTGTGTCTACTAGTGATAAGGGTGACCCTGTTGGAGCTCGAGGTGCTACTGTTGCTGCTGACCCTGGGGTCGGCGCTGGAGGTACTGGAGACACTTGTCCTGGAGGTGCTCGTACTGGCGGTACTGGAGCTGCTGGGACTGCGGGTGCTGCTGGAGCTACTGGAGCTGGTCCTACTAGAGCTGCTAGGCCTGGGGGTGCTCCTAGTGCTGGAGCTACTGGCGGAGCTGGCGGTACTAGAGGAGTAGGTGCTGCTGGAGCTACTGGAGCTGGAGCTGCTGGGGGTGTTGACGCTGGAGGTGCTGCTGGTGCTGGTACTTGTGAGGGTACTGGAGTTGGCGCTGCTAGAGCTGGAGGTGCTGCTGGCACTCGTGCTGCCGCTGGGGGTGCTGGTGCTGTCCCTGCTGGTTCTGAAGGCGCTGTGCGGCCGCGGCCGTACTTCGTTCCGCTCCTTGAGCAGGTTCTTGGTCTCCCGCCTTCTACTGGTCCTGCTCCTGCCTTAGAGTGTCCACCGCCTGTCCAGTCGCTGTCACAATTACAGCCCGCCTCCCCACTGCCTGCTCCTTCTCCCTACACTGGTCCTACTGGAGGTCTTGCTGAGCGTCGTGAGCCAGCGTCTCGTCCTACGTCGCCTGTTCGTGCTACTCGCACTAGTCGTTGTGTTCCGCGTCCGCGTCCTCCTGCGGTCCCAGGCACACACTAGATGGCACTGCGTCCTTCCACTGCTCCTCTGCGTGTCCCGTTGCCGTCTCCTCCACAGTCCTCTCTTCCTGCCCTTGCTGACCCGGAGTCTGACTCTCTTCGTGCTGCCAGTCCTACTGTCACGCGTCTCCTGGCTACTGTTGTCACTAACCCTTCTTTTGAGTCCACTGCTGCGTCTGCCTTAGATGCTGAGCTTGTCGATTTTGCTGCTCGATGTCGTCTAGACTTCCCCGCTAGTCTTGTTGCTTAGTCTGAGTCTATCTGTCCTCCGTCCGTCGGGGGTGAGTGTGCTCTTAGCACGGACGTCCTTGAGGACAGGCAGGAGGAGTTCCAGTGTTTTGCTGCTGCTTTGCCTCATCTCGTGTCCATGCTAATTGCCCTTAAGGGAGACGCGGATGCACTAGACATCCCGACTCCTAGATCGTACGCTGAGGCGATCGAGGGTCCCTACTCCTCACAGTGGCAGTAAGCCATGGACGCAGAAATGGCTTCCTGGAAGTCCACAGGCACCTACGTTGACGAGGTTCCCCCACCTGGGGCGAACATCGTTAGTGGCATGTGGATTTTCAGGGTGAAGCGGCCGCCGGGTTCTCCGCCTGTCTTCAAGGCGCGTTACGTGGCTCAAGGCTTCAGCCTGCGGCAGGGAGTTGACTACTTTCAGACCTTCTCTCCCACCCCGAAGATGACCACTCTTCGGGTGCTGCTGCACATAGCCGCTCAGCGCGACAACGAGCTTCACTCTCTTGACTTCACCATTGCTTTCCTACAGGGCAGCCTGCACGAGGAGATCTGGTTGCGCCGCCCACCTGGCTTCACAGGGTCGGTTCCTCCTGGTACCCAGTGGAGCCTCCGGCGGCCTCCGCCAGGCGCCCCGTGAGTGGCACGACACACTGAGGACTACACTTGCGGCTCTTGGGTTTGCTCCTTCTACTGCCGACCCGTCGCACAGATCTGGGTGAACTGCAGAGCTACCTTGGCTTGCAGATCACCCGGGACAGAGCACACCGCACCATTAATCTGAGTCAGTCACACATGGTGCAGCAGGTCCTTCAGCGCTTCGACTTCACGTACTCCTTACCTCAGGCCACTCCTCTGTCTACTCGCCACTCGCTCTAAGCTCTGCCTTCGGATGAGTCCGTAGAGTCGAGTGGCTCGTACCCAGAGCTTGTTGGCTGCCTCATGTACCTGATGACCTGCACTCGACCTGACCTTGCATACCCTCTTAGCATCTTGGCACACTATGTTGCTCCTGGGAGACACCTACCAGAGCACATGGCTGCAGCGAAGAGGGTGGTGCGCTACTTGTGCAGTACGTCGGGCGCTAGTGCTTGGAGGGCGGCGTTCAGTGGTCCTCACGGGTCACGCAGACGCTCCTTGGTCTGACGACCAAGCTACGCAGCGGTCGTCACAGGGTAACACCTTCAGCCTTGGTTTCGGCTCTGTTTCATGGCGGTCTACCCGCTCGTCTTCTGTTCTCGGCTCCAGCTGTAAGGCTGAGATCTACGCGGGGGCTATGGCTGCACAGGAGCTATGCTGGCTCACCTACCTACTGACTGACCTAGGAGAGCCACCTCGTTCTCCTCCAGTTCTGTATGTAGACAACAAGGCCATGCTGGCCTTGTGTCGGGAGCACAGACTGGAGCACAGAACGAAGCACATTGCTCTTCGTTACTTCCTTGCTCGTGAGCTCGAGCAGCGTGGTCAGCTGCGCCTTGCTGACGTGGCCTCTCATACCAACACTGCTGATATCTTTACCAAGGCACTTCCGCCTTGTGATCATCAGCGCTGCTATACGATGCTAGGTCTTGTGCCTACTTGGCCTCACTTGCTCACTTCTTGACCTTGCTTGTACTATGATCTTTCTATACCTACACTTGCTTGTTTACCTTAATATATGATCTTGCATGTGAATTGGCCTTGTGACCTTGAACTTGTGCTCGGAATGTGTGGTGACGTTGTGATCCACCCTGAGCTTGCTTTGCTTTGCTTGACTGGTCTTGTGACCCCTTGTTCTCCCCCACTTTGCCTATGGGGGTGTGTCAGAACATTGTAGCTTATGCTTTTGTGTAGGCTATAGTGGGGTAGCCCATATAGGGTACAACCCGATTAGGGTTAGTACTTGTACCCAACTCTTCCATAGCATAAGCTATGATGTTCTGACACACCCCCTTAGGCAAAGTGGGGGAGTACAAAGGGTCACAAGACCAGTCAAGCAAAGCAAAGCAAAGCAAGCTCAGGGTGGATCACAAAGTCGCCACACATTCCGAGCACAAGGTCAAGGCCACAAGGCCAGTTCACATGCAGGAGTACATATATATATAAAAGGCTAGACAAGCAAGAGCAGGTGTATATATATATGTAACAGTACAAGCAAGGTCAAGAGGTGAGCAAGTGAGGCAAGGCAGGCACAAGACCCAGCTGAGTACAGAAGCGCTAATGATCACAAGGCGCAAGTGCCTTGGTGAAGAGATCAGCAGTGTTGGCCTCAGAGGCCACGTATGCAAGACGCAGCTGACCACGCTGCTGCAGCTCACGAGCAAGGAAGTAGCAAAGAGCAATATGCTTCGTTCTGTGCTCGAGTCTCTGCTCTCGACACAAGGCCAGCATGGCCTTGTTGTCTACGTACAGCACTCGAGGAGAACGAGGCGTCTCTCCGAGGTCAGTCAGGAGGTAGGTGAGCCAGCAAAGCTCCTGAGCAGCCATGGCCCCGGCGTAGATCTCAGCCTCACAACTGGAGCCGAGAACAGAAGACGAGCGGGTAACCCGCCACGAAACAGAGCCAGAACCAAGGCTGAAGGTGTAACCTTGTGACGACCGCTGCGTAGCCTGGTCGTCAGCCCAAGAAGCGTCTGCGTGCCCAGTGAGGACCATTGGACTCTGCCCTCCAAGCACAAGCCCCATGCCCGACGTACTGCACAAGTAGTGCAACACCCTCTTCGCTGCAGCCATGTGCTCCGGTCTGTGTCTCCCGAGAGCAACATAGCGTGCGAGAATGCTAAGAGGGTATGCAAGGTCAGGTCGAGTGCAGGTCATCAGGTACATGAGGCAGCCAACAAGCTCTGGGTACGGGCCACTCGAATCTACGGACTCATCCGAAGGCAGAGCTGAGAGCGAGTGGCGAGTAGGCAGAGGAGTGGCCTGAGGCGAGGAGTACGTGAAGCCGAAGCGCTGAAGGACCTGCTGCACCAGATGTGACTGAGTCAGGGTAATGGTGCGGCGTGCTCTGTCCCGGGTGATCTGCAAGCCAAGGTAGCTGCGGAGTTCACCCAGGTCTGTGCACGTGTGTCTCTTCTGCAGCTCAGACTTCACGTGGGCGAGTCTAGCAGTGTCAGCTGTGGCAAAGACCAAGTCGTCGACGTACACGAGGATGTAGAACGGCGGCAAAGAAGTGTCGGTGCGAAGAAACAGCGACGGGTCAGCAGTAGAGGGAGCAAACCCAAGAGCCGCAAGTGTAGTCCTCAGTGTGTCGTGCCACTCACGCGGTGCCTGGTGGAGACCGTAGACTGGCCGCAGGAGGCTCCACTGGGTACCAGGAGGAAAAGACCCAGTGAAGCTAGGTGGGCGACGCAGCCAGATCTCCTCGTGCAGGCTGCCCTGCAAGAAAGCCGTGCTGAAGTCAAGAGAGTGCAGCTCGTAGTCACGGTGAGCAGCTATGTGCAGCAGTACCCGAAGAGTGGTCATCTTCGGGGTGGGAGAGAAGGTCTGAAAGTAGTCAACTCCCTGCCGCTGACTGAAGCCACGAGCCACGTAGCGCGCCTTGAAGACAGGCGGAGAACCCGGCGGCCGCTTCACCCTGAAAATCCACATGCCACTGACAATGTTCGCCCCAGGCGGGGGAACCTCGTCAACGTAGGTGCCTGTGGACTTCCAGGAAGCCATCTCTGCGTCCATAGGTGCCTGCCACTGAGAGGAGTAGGGACCCTCTATCGCCTCCGCGTAAGAGCGCGGAGTCGGGATGTCAAGTGCATCCGAGTCTCCCTCAGGGGTAAGCAGTACGGACACGAGATGAGGTGAAGCAGCAGCCAGAC